ATCCTGACAGTTAACCCTAAAGTTAGCCTGACAGTTAGCCTGGCAGTTAACTAGTTAGTCTGGCAGTGAATCTGACTCGGGTTTGGTAAACTCAGACTGTTCAGAGTGCAAACCTTTGTGTGACATTAGAGCCACAAAACCTGTAAAGTTTCAGACAAAACATGCAGATAAACGAGAGCAGAACGAAGCGATGAGATGTTACCTGCTGACAGACCACAGAGACGCCTTAGAGAAACCAGAAACATGCAGAAGAAACACTCGTTTCCACTTTCTCAGCTCTCAGCAGGTGACAAACATCCTCAGATTCAGGTTGAACAAAGACAGATTGAAGCAGTGAAACCAGATCCAGCAGCTGCTTCAGTCTCTGAGCTCTGCAGGGGAATAAACGGAGTCTGTGACGGCAGCAGAGGGAGGAGCAGCAGATAGCAGCACTGATCCAGCTCACAGAGTCTCTGGTGGTTGGTTCTTCCTCTTCGTCAAACACAGTGTGGAGCAGAAATGTGAAGCTGCAGAGTTTCAGGCTCACAAATACCTGAAGAAGTAAAAGCAAAGATGGTCGATCAGAATCAACGGCATGACAACAGTCCGACTGATGCTGCTGATGAGGATGAAGATAATGATGAAGATGAGGATGGTGTGAGGAATGTTTTCTGGCACAGTTAACCAACAGTCATGGTTTGATGAGTGTTGTTGTCCTTCCATGGACGGTTCAGCATCTTTAACAAAATCATTAAAGGAAAACCAGTCAGTCCCCCCGACCCCCAACAGCACCTTCATCTACTGACCAGAGTTCTACCTTCAGACTGTGAATGTTCCAGAGGTCCAGAACCTTGAAGTCCACAGAGGAGGGTCCAGGTTTATCACTTTAATGGACTTTTTCCATCATTCTGGTAGAACCTGACCCCAGATCAGTTCTACATCCAGCCAGGTGTCTCAGTCTGAACACTGGATCTGGTTTTCTTTCAGGAGGATTTATTTTTTTCTACAGTTAGCCTGACAATCAGTTAGCACAACAGGTTCAGAAACTAGCTCTCTGACTACTATGTCAGGCTAAGTGTCAATAAAAAATGGTGACAGTTGACCAATTTCCTGGCAGTTAATCTGACTGCTCCCCTGATAGTTAGCCTGACAGTTAACTAGTTAGCGTAATGGTTAACCTGGCAGTTAGTTTGACAGTTAACTAGTTAGCGTAACAGTTAACCTGGCAGTTAGCTTGACAATTAGCCTTACAGTTTGCCAGTTACCCTGACAGTTAACCTGGCAGTTAGCCAGTTAACCTAAAAGTTAACCTGCCAGTTAGCCTGACAGTTAGCCTGACAATTAACATGACAGTTAGCCTTACAGTTAACTTCACAGTTAGCCAGTTAGCCTGGCAGTTGGCCTGGACCAGGTTAGTTTTCCAGCATAAGTTTCCAGAGTAACTGAACTTGAACTAGTTTGAATTTACTTTATGAAACTAAAATAACCTGACAGTAAGTCAGACTTTCTGAAATAAGCCTGGTTTATTCGGTAAACTCACCTCTGATCTATATCTACATTTACAACAATTTCCTTGAGGTTTGCACCAAAGGGATCAATACAGTTCTATTCTATTCTATCTAAACAAAGAAGCAGAGTTATAACTGTAATTTCACTGTTTAATTAGACATAAAACACATTTACAGAATCACCAGTCAAATCTGATTAAACTTATAAACTTAACTGATTAAACCCCAAATAAGGTTTAAAAAGTGTTTTTCCAACAGTTTATACTTCTGCTGCAAACGGTTTCACTCGGTTCACTGAATCTGAGATATTTCTTCTTTGGTTTACACGTCAGAACGTCTTTAAATGTTTCCAAAACTTCGACTTTTCTGATTATTTGCAGGTTTACGTGACAATCCGACTCATTTTCAGCGTTCTCGGCCATTTGGAGCTGCTGTCAGCGCCAACATCATATCACATACGTTCCTGAAGATTCAGTTTGTGTTCACATGTGGAGCTGAAACGCTGCAGCTGAGTTTACTGAAGATTAAATGTCCACACGTGTGTCCTCACCTTCACCTTCAGGCGAGTTCCTGCAAACGGGGGTCGACGAACTCTGACTGGACTGTTTGTCCAAAACCACAAACCACCTCTGCACAAATCCATTCGGTAACAACATTTATTGCATCCAATATTGACAATCCTCCTCCACACACTTCATTGTACACTTAATTTCCAGACGTCCGTCGTTTTCTCAAAGAGAAGCAGAGTGCTATCTTTACAGAGGGGCTATTTCCAGATATTAAAACCCATTTATTCCCTGTTACAGACCAAAAAATCATGCAGTTAATGAAGTCGGAACAAAAGATCAGGACCAGAATCTGAATGACTGCATGAACAAAGGGTCAGTCGTTCTTCCGTTTAAGCGATAAAATTAGATAAAACAGCAAAAACAATACAGATTTAATTAATATTCTGGAATGAGGTGACAATAAAACAATAAAATAAGACACTACAGAGGGTCCAGGAGCCACATGAGAACTAAACTTTGCTCGTTTCATTGTGTATTCTTTAAATAAGTCTCACTTTTAACTTCAGACTTCAACATTAAAACTATAAAACGAAGCCCTCTGCGGCGCTTGCATAAGATACGTGTTGTAAAGTGCCTCGTGTACGTACGACCATATTTACAAAACTTTTCGCTTCTATTTTTACAGTTTGTTTGGCAGAAGAAGTCGTATTTGGTCACAATCATCACAATGCGTTCGACGAAAACTAAAATAAAGGAGAAAAGTCACTGAAGAGGTTTGACAGGATTTCAGATTTTGTTCTGTTTTGTTTGTCAGGAAGCAAAAAGAGGCCAAAAAAGAACAAAAGTCATCTTTTAATCTTGGATTTTTTTCTCTGAATATTTTAGTTTGGTAAACGTGAAGTAACATCAGGTTAGTTTTTAGGTCTTCAGCGTCTAAAACTTTGCTGATTCCTAAAAAAACCCACAAAAAACTGAACTTAACTGTTGAAACCTCACGTTGCTGGAAAAGGATTCAGACGTTTTTGTGCTTCTTCACCATCAGACACTCGGATCTTTTTGGCCTTCATTTGCTTCCTCAGTCGATGTGAAAGTAAAAAAAACATCCGTGTGTGTTTTACGGCCTTGAATTAAATGAAAGCTCACAGGTGGAGGAACCTTCCCCTCAGCCGCCTCCTGCCGTCGATCGTCGCATCAAACCGGCGTCCGCGAAGCTCCTCGAGTCTCTCAAGGCCTTGAAATGACGTTTAAAACCACCAGGTGGCGTGAGAACCAAAAACCTGCAGCTGTGGTTGGAGTTCAGATGTGTTTTTGTTTTGCTGGTGTTTCTGCTCACAGTTCAAACAAAAAGGAGACCAAAGTGTCCTCAGTTGGCCTGATGAACCTCCGGGATGAGCGAGGAGAAGAAGGTCTTGAAGAAGACCCACGCCGTCCACATGACCGACACCCGGTGAGGAGGAACCAGGACCGCCGTCATCGAGCCGGAACCCTCAGAACCTTCGGCTGCAGGTTCTTCATCCTGAAGACAGATTTACACCAGAGTCACTCCATGAAAAGCAACTAGCTTCGTTAAAAACTGCAACCAAATCAATCGTTACTTCATTTCAGTTTTACTTTTTTTTGGGGGAAGAATTTGATTTGTTCCTGATCATTTCTGTCATTCTAAGCAAATTTTTTTTGGTCATTTTTGAGTGATTTTCAACAGTTAATTAGTAATCTTGATCTTTTTTTTTTTTTATAACTTGGGGTATTTTTCCAGCAAAGTCCAAGTTAGCAGTGACTGAATATTTCCAGAGTTCCAGGTCCTTGAAGTCCGCAGAGGAGGGTCCAGATTGATCACCTTAATGGACTTTTTCCATCATTTCTGAGCCTCAGAACTTCATCAGTACAGCAGATAGACACATGACATTTAGGAGGAAGAACACATCTGGGTTCTGGTAGAACCTTTCATTCTGGGCAATTTTTGGACTAATTTTGGAAGAATGTGAGTAATTTCTGATCATTTTTGTCTCATTTTAAATTATTTTTCTGCCCTTTTTGATCATTTCTGAGTAATTTGAACAATCATTGAATCATTTTTGACTAACTTTGGGATACTTTTATGTCACTTTGACCAATTCCTTTGGGATTTAGCAATTTTTTTGAGCTGTTTTCAACAATTATCGAGTAATTTTACACTTTTTACATGAACTTTTTCAAGCAGATGGACACGTGACATTTTAGGATGAAAAACACATCTGAGTTCTGGTAAAATTTAAGTCATTTTAGGTAGTTTTGTGTAATTTTTTACAATTATTGAGTCATTCAGGATCATTTTTACGTCATATTGGATGATGTGTGTAATTTTGAAACATGTTTGATTGATTTTGAGCAACTTGTGTGCGATTTTGAAGTTTTTTGGGTAATTTTCAACAATTATTGAGCAACACTGTCAAACTTTTGTGTCGTTTTGAACAATATTTGAGCCATTTTGGAGGAATTTGGGCCAGTATTGTGATTTCGACTTGACCAGCAGATGGACATGAAGGTATGAAGAACACATCTGAGTTCTGGTAGAAGTCGACGTCATTTTGGACAGTTTGTGAATCATTCTGGTTCATGTTTTTGTAATTTTCGACAACCCCTGTGTCATTTTGAAGAATCCTTTGAGTCATTTGGGACCATTTCTGAGTAATTTTCGGATAATTTTTGTATACGTCCGGCCACTTTGCTCATTTTCTGAATCATTTTTAACAATAATTGAGTAATTTTTGAACAGTTTTTGAGCCATTTTGAACAAATTGAGGAATTTGGATCAATATTCATGTTATTTTTGGACCGCTATCAGTGCTTTTAAATATTTTACAGGTCTTTTGTCTGAGCCTCATAAATCATCTTCTGCAGCAGACCAACAAATCTGTTTTTTTTTCTGAGAAATGGTGGAAAACCTCCATGAAAAAGTGATAAATTACTCGATAATTGTTGGAAACAGCTCAAAAAATGTGCAAAATCACCCAGAAATTGTACAAAGTGACATAAAATTATCCCAAAGTTAAACAAAAAGGATTCAATAATTGTTGAAAATCACTTAGAAATGGTCAAAAGGGATAAAAAAGAAAAAAACAAGTCAGAATGGCACAAAAATGATCAAAAAATCTTTACAAATTAATCCAGAAATTGTCCAAAATGAAAAGAAAACTGATTTAGTTTCTACCAGAACTCAGATGTGTTCTTCCTCCTAAATGTCATGTGTCTATCTGCTGTACTGATGAAGTTCTGAGGCTCAGAAATGATGGAAGAAGTCCATTTAAGTGATAAATCTGTGGACTTCAAGGTTCTGGGACACAGTCTGAAGGTGAAACTCTAAACGTACATTTAGTTCACTGCGACTGAATTCTGGTTCATTTAAAGGAGGAGCTACAGACTCGATATCCAGAGTTTGTAACGTTAAATTCAAACGTTTTCTTACTGGATTCGGGTTCTGGTTCCGGTTCTCGTTCTGTTGGTTGTGCTGGACCTCGGGGGGCTGCAGGAGGTTCGGTTCCTGGACCTGAACTCGCCTCCTGAAGGGAAACCAGCCGACGGTGTGTCTGTGGAAGGACGACGAGAGGGAAAAGTCTTTAACGTGTCTTTAAAGAGATAAACGAGAACAAAAACTGGTGAAAATCGACTTCTAGGAGAAGCCGCGTTTCCTCCAAAGACAGGAACTTACGTCAGTTTGTAAACGACAACAGAAAACGTTGGAATAAGTCATTTATCTGCTGGGCTGAAACTCTAAAAATGAGCTTTCTGTGGCGGAGAACAAACATTAGCCGCTACGTTTGAAGCTCAGCAGACGCAAACCAACATTTAGAAACAGAATGTTTTCTCTCTTTTTAGCCTCTTTAGCTGCTAAATGCTGCGCTGTGTTGATCAGGTCTGAACAAAATGGATGAAAATAACAATAAATCCAGAACACAGAGCTGACAGCTACTCAGGAGGCTGAATACTTATTTCTATAAGTGATGAATGTTTTGATAAACTTGTAAAAAAACTAATATTCTCTTTAGATTCCTGACTGAACACATACAATTAAAATGATCAGAATCAGGCGTCCGCTGCTCGTCTCTCTGAACTTTAGCCTTCAAACTGCTGCTGGTCGGTTATTTGAAGCACACTGAAGCTCGTTTAACTGCCAAATGCTTTAAACTGTTTGCTTCAGCTGCTTCAGTTTCACCGCGTGAACGAGTGTTTCCCGCAGCTGAAGGTTTACGTAACGGGGAACACGTGTGAAAAGCGAAAGAACAGCAGCTGATAACAACAACAACCAGAAAACTGCTTCTGTCGGAGGTCAAAGGAAGAATTAACGAGATTAGCTTCACCGTCTGCAGCACAAAGGTGGCGCCCAATGTGAGAAGCAGAGTAGAGGAGAATGAAAGGCGAGCTGTTGTACGTAGAGCCAGTGTACATCTAAAAGATTCTGGATAAGATTTTCCTCTGATGTTGCCGGCTAACCAGGTGAGCGCTGTGGTTCGGCGTGAAGGTGAACTTACAGGTACATGAGCAGCAGCGTGCTCATCACCAGCAGGAAGCGGCTCAGGTTGGAGTTGAAGTAGATGATCATGAGCAGGACGCCGAACCTGGCCGCCGAGTACAGCCAGTCCAGCCAGTCCCGCTCCACGTCCTCCTCGTCCTCCATCACCGGGCCGCCCTGGGCGTTCATGCGCAGGTTCTGGTTGGCCTCGCCGGGGTTGATGAAGGCGCCGTCCGGGGCCGCGTTCTGATTGGCCGGCAGGTTGTCGATGGGGTTCTGATTGGCCAGGGGGGCGGGGACGGGCACTTGGTGGGCGGGGACCGGTGGGTACTGACCGATGGTGGCGGCCGGCGGCGAGGGGGCGGAGCCTGCCGCTGCCAGAGCTGCGTGGCTGTTGGAGGAGAATCACCGTTAGGATCAAAAAAATCAATCAGGGCTCCAAAATTAATACTGATTCCATCTATGATCAACCAAACCTGAAGAAAGTTTAGCAAATTTAATTTTAACTGCAACCAAATCAATCTTTTATTTCCTTTCAGACCGTTTCTGAACAGTTTTCCACAGTTTTTCTGTCATTTTGTAAGAATTTGACTCATTTCTGATCATTTCTACGTCATTCTAAAAAACTTTTTTGTCTTTTTTGACCATTTCTGAGTAATTTCCAGCAATTATGGAGTAATTTTGAATTATTTTTGTCTAACTGTGGTATACTTTCGCGTCACTGTGAACTATTTCTGGGTGATTTTGCCCATTTTTTGAGTCGTTGTCCACAATTATCGAGTAATTTTACGCCTTTTAATGGACTTTTTCCATCATTTCTGAGCCTCAGAACTTCATCAGTACAGCAGATAGACACATGACATTTAGGAGGAAGAACACATCTGAGTTCTGGTAGAACCTGACACCAGATCAGTTCTACATCCATCCAGGAGTCCCAGTATAAAGACTAAACCTGGTTTTTTTGTTTATATTTTCATAAAATTTTAAAAATTCTTGTAATTTTAGACACTTTTAAGTTGTTTTGGACAATTTTTGAGTTATTTTGGACAAACTTGGTCAATTCTGGATCATTTCTGTGTAATTCTAAACAGCTTTGATGACATTTTAAACAATTTTTTGTAGTTATTTCTGAGCCTCATGACTTCACCAGTACAGCAGATGGACGCACGCAATGTTCAGAACTACATGAGTTCTGTTAAAAGCTGACACCAGATCAGTTTTACATCCACCCAGGAGTCACAGTCTGAACACTAAACCTGTTTTTGGTTTATTCTTTCCAGCTTTGAGCTTCAGTATTATGGGATTTTTTTTTCCAGATTTGGTTGACTTTAGAGCCACTAAGGCTGATTCAAGAGGAGATCATGAGGGTAAATCGTTTAACCTATGAATTAAAACTCACTATTGCATGTAGTACTGTTGGGCGTAGACGTGTTGGAGCCACAGCAGCTGCTGAGGACTGTACAGGGAGAAGGTGGGGAAGGTCGGCTGGTTCATCTGCGGAGCTCCAGACCTGCAGGGAAACGTCACACATGCTGACACGAGCCTCGAACGTTGCACTTTTTTAAAAGCTGTCTCGGGGGAATTCTCAGCATCAAGGCACCGAAGCCTGCACATGAACTCACGGTGCAGCAGGAGGCCACGCAGGAGTCTGTGGCGAAGCTGCTGGAGACGAAGAGTTCTGCCTCCTCTGCCTCAGTTCAGGCGACGTAGAAGAACCGGAGCTCCGAGGCTGTTCTGAGTCTCTGACCTGCAGAGGGAAGAACAGCTGGACGTGAGGGTCGGCTCAAGCAGAGCGGGAGGTTTGAAGACGTCGCGAAACCGTTTTCTTCGCTTCTGATCCTGAAACTGCGGCTGAAGCGGAACGGTTTCAGTTCTCGGTGAGCTGCTCGGGAGGAAGAGCACCTGCTGCATCGGAGGTTTGTGCATTTCTGGAATTATGCTTCGAATTTATAAAATAAAAAAAGCAAACGTGTTGTTGAACCCAAACCTGTTTATTCTGATTTAAAGCTGCCTCGAGAGTTCCTGAAAACCAAACTGACCTGCTGACCTCCATCAGAAATCACGTTAACAGTAAAATAAAATGTAAAAAAAAAAAAAAAAGAGGCTTTAAAAGTGTCACTAATGAAGAAGCTGGAATGATATTTAAAAAACAAGCACAGCTGCTCAGAGGTGAAACTCAACCAGATGTTTTGTTTACAGCGTTTAAAAATAACAGCAGCAGAGTTTCACTGAAGCTCCACACGATTATAATAAGACGAATATTAATAATCAAATAGAACCTTTAAAACACACGAAGGTGAAACCAGCAGAGCAACACAGTTAAATATATAAAGGAAGAGTTAAATAAATGATAATAAAAAGCACAATAAAACAAACTAAGAGACAATACAAGACAAGAAATGTAGTTGTTTTTTTTATTATTTCCATGACTTTGCAGCAGAAAAAAGCCGCTCTAATCATTTTATGCTGGACCTTTAACTGGACCTTTAACACAAACTTTGACCAACTTCAAACCATCTGCGGTCTGATGTTTGCTGCTGAACTTTTTATGTCCGCTGTTGGTTCAGTTTTTAATATTCTCCTCCAACAAACAGCTCGTTCAGACACCGACTATCAGCCTGGAAGCGTCCGATCTGACGGTTCAAACCCAGTTTCCCGCTTTAGTGACATTTATTTCATATTCAGTGAAGACGTTCATTGTTTCTCACCTTCGGTTTTGCTCCCGAAGTCCCTGCAGGTGGATTTCTGAGCGCACAGACCAGGTGAAGCGTCGGAACCGAGTCCGTCTGAAACCGGAGACAAAACACGACGTGAGAGCGGAAACGGGTCAAACACGTTGGACCGAGTGCGAGTTAGTCTCCACCGAAGCTACAAACAACAAAACCTGATCGATATCAGGATTCAGGTTCATCTCAAGAACAACTTATCTGAATATTTTCCACATATCAGGAGCTTTTCAATGATCTTGGACACACTTTGAGTCTTTTTTAACTGCTTTTGAATAACGTTGGACGTGTTTTCAGTCATTCTGATAAAAGTTAGAATCACTTCAGACAATTTTTGAGTCTTTTTAAACATTTTCATGCATTTTGAGTAATTTGGGACAGAACTTTGAGTCATTCTGAACTGTTTCTGGATCATGTTGGACGTCCATCCATCCATCCATTTTCTATACACCGCTTAATCCTCATTAGGGTCGCGGGGGGGCTGGAGCCTATCCCAGCTGACTCAGGGTGAAGGCAGGTTCACCTGGACAGGTAACCAGTCCATCGCAGGGCCACACTTAGAGACAGACAACCAAGCACACTCACATTCACACCTACGGACAATTTACAATCACCAATTAACCTCAACATGTTTTTGGACTGTGTGGGAGGAAGCCAGAGAACCCGGAGAGAACCCACGCTGCACGGGGAGAACATGGAGACTCCACGCAGAAAGATTCCGGTGCCCCCACCGGGACGCCAACCGGCGACCTTCTTGCTGCGAGGCAACATGTTGGACGTGTTTTCAGTATTTTAAATGTTCTGCGCCTGTAAGAACTCTGGACTGGTTCCTCACCAGTTAACCTGCTAACCAGGCGAGCGCAGGTCGGTTATTTGTTAGTAAAATGAGTTTTGTTGCTGCGTTCTGGTCCTTACGTCTGAAACAACCGTCAACAGATCATCTGATTCGGTTTAATCCTGCAAATAAAACCAATAAAATGTAAATTCAAGTCCTGTTTTTTCTTTTTTTTAATAGTTTCATGTAATTTATTGCTTTTATTATGAGTTTATCTTTTATTTTAAATCATTATTGTCTTTGTGTTTTTACTTTATTCTTTCTGTTGTACACATTTTCATTATTATTCATGTTTCTTGCAGCTCCAGAGTGTCACTGACGGCTCAATAGAAAGGATTCATCTGTAAAATACTGTTATCTGGACAATCTGAACTAGTATTTATGTATGTTTTTGGTTTGTTTTTCTTTGTCCCCTGCGCTGCTGGATTAATCGAGGATTATTATCTCAAAGCAGAGCGTGTTTTGGGTGGGACAGAGAGTCTTGCTGGTTACTGGATGCGTTTGTCGAGCTCTCAGTCAGAACTTTGTAAAGCTGCCGACTGCTTGAAACCGACCCGATCTCGTCTTTGTAAACTCTCCTCTTTGTCTTTCAGTGTCTCTGGCAACACGAGCCTCAGCCGGGATTCAACACACAACAAAACCCAGCGACCAAACACGTGAAACACGACACGGTGCTGCTTTTAAAGAGTGTGAAAAAGCTCCTCGCAGCTCACAGAAACCCTCCTCTGGACGCTTACCGTCTGATACAAGCAAGCGAAGTAAAAGTAGGTCGAACTGAGCTTCTGTCGCCAGTTTGTCTGCAGCTGAATCGACTCGTACGTTTCCCAGTTTTGCGGTGAGTTTGTGTTAAAAGACGTCGACGGTTTAGACAACCGACTGTGTTACTCACCTGTCTGAAGAGATCTCTGATGTGCAGGTGATCGGGCAGCAGCTTCCCGCCGTAGATCAGCCTTTGGTCGCTCACGGCCTGAAGGAAACGAGTTTCAGTCAGTAAATATAAATCATATTTTTCCTCACAGTGGCGGTTTGGACAAAAATTTGAACTCCTGAAACGGATTTTTAAAGCTGCTGAGTGGAAAACTTCCAACAGATTTAATTTCTAGCCACAAAATCAAGTTTTATTTAAGAAAGAAAGGTCAAAACACAGAACATGATAAATGTAAAGGTGCAGAAATTAACGAATTAGTTGTCAACTGGTGGTTAGTTGGAAGTTTTTTTGTTAATCAATTCATCAGTTTGAGTATTTTATAATAAAACAAGTCTAGATTCTGTGATTTTAGCTTCTTAAATGTGTATATTTTCTAGTTTCTTTCCTCCTCTGTAATATCTTTGGACAAAACAAGACATTTGAGGAAACACTGATGCACATTTCTGACGCTGAAATTGTGATAAAATTTGTTCTCAAACTGATTAAAAAACATGTGAAAACTTGTACTAACAGATAAAACTGAATAAAAAGTAAGAAAAAGACTAATTTCTGAGCTGAATTATGATTTAAAACCGTCTTCGATTAACCAGAAAAGAAAAAAACAATCCAGAGTTTGGATGAAGAAAGTTTAACAAAAAAATAAAAAACCTGAGATGCTTCTTTGGTGAACAAATTAAAAAAAAACTTTATTCAGACGATTATTTCACAATAAAACTCTATAAACATTACAGTCACAGTTTATCATTTTAGAAGAAGCAGAGCGTGCTGTCCATGTTTAGAGAGTTTCGTCATTAAATAGTTTCTGAAGAAAGGATTTTTTTTAAACCAGAAAAATGCCTTAAATCTTCTTCCCAGTTCAGGTCATTTGTAATAATGTAAATACAGCATATAACACATGTGGTGTATACGATAATCTCTTTGTGTTTATGGCTTTAAATATCCAGTTTTATAACTACAAAATAAATGCATCTACTTTAAGTTATGTCTATTAATTAGTTTTATAACGACATTCGACGTGTCACAGGTGTGAAATGTTATTTAATGCCGTCGTCTCGGCCTTTTATCAGCAGGAACACCTGCCGGTTCCCACAGCAGTGATCAGGAATCATTAACTGTGCTGAGAAAACACTTTTTCCAGACGTTTTTCAGTCTTCTGTCAACTTCTAACTGTGCTCCTCTCAGATCTCAGTGAAGCAAAGATCCTCCTGCTCCTCAATAAAACTGGAAACTCTGGCAGAAGTGTGTGACTAAGATCTGAAATACTTAAATCCTCCTCCGACGGCTGCTGGGCTTTACGTCGAGCCTCAGACGATGTGGCTACGGAGCACGTTTATCACCTGTGAACTGAACACGTCATCACAAGCCGCACTCACACACCTGAACACACCTGAGGATAAACGTTTACACAACACACACACACACCAGTCTTACGTAAAGCCTCACTTTTCTTTTCAGGGGATCAACATGAATCCGTGGCAACAAAACTGAAAGTGGATCACAAGTTGAATCATTTTATACTCTAATTTAAACCGTTTTTGAAGAGGAATCAGCCACGGAGTCGTTACAGGACACGTTTAATTCTAATTAATTATCTTTGTGGGTTCACTGTTGATCATTTGCAGGATTATTAGATTAGAAAATGATCACAAATTGGATCAGAGTTTCCTCAAATGTCAGGTTTTGTCCAAAGATATTCAGTTAACTGTCACAGACGTGGAAAAAAAGCAGAATATCGATTAATTGATGAGTGGCTGCAGCTCTACTGGTGGTTTTTTATATATTATTTTGGTCTGTTATGTGTTTTGAGGCGTCACTTTTGAATTTCACTGAGTTTTCTGTATTTTAAAGACCCATCTAGGAACGGGCACGGCACAACATCTGAGGCTTAATACTAATTAATAAACAATGAAAACACACAAATAACATACAGATGATTGTACATGTAGACGGTTCTGTCACTTCCCTGTAAGTTAACACAAGTTAGAGACACTTTAGCCTTAGCAACAGTTATATTTGGACAGTTTTAAGGGATATTATTGACCCTCTACACGATAAAAACATGAAATTAACACACAAATTATTGTAGATGCAGCTTTGTCAGTTGCTTCTCTTTAAGTTAATACCTGTTGGAGACAGTTTAGCTTTTTTTTACAGTAATATTTAGGCTGTTTTATGGGGAATAACATACAAATTATTATAGATATAGATGTCTCTTTCACTTTTATTTAGGTTTATACCTGTTGTAGAAGCTTTAGGCTCTGTAAGAGTTGTATTTAGGCTGTTTAAAGGGAAATTAACTATTTATTAACTCTCTATACAATAAAAAACATACAATAAACTCATAAATTATTGCTGGTGTAGTTTTGTCAGTGACTTTCCTTTAAGTTAAAACTTGTTGGAGACAGTTTAGCAGTTTATACAGTGATATTTAAGCTGTTTTATGGGAAATAACAAACAAATTATGGTACATTTAGGTGTTTCTGTCACTTTCCTTTAAGTTAACAAGTGTTAGAGATAGTTTAGCCTGTGTACCAGTTATGTTCTGACTGTTTTAAGTGAAATAACATACAAATTATAGTAGATATAGACGTGTCATTCACTTTTATTTAAGTTTATACCTGTTGTAGAAGCTTTAGCCTCTGTAAGAGTTGTATTTAGGCTGAAATAAAAGAATTAAACGACCCCAGTTAGAACCCTTGCTGTCTCCTTTAAAGGTTCGTATCATCTGAGCAGGTTTGGAGTCAAAACACTCTCAGAAACAGAGAAATGGCTGCCAGCTGTTAGCAGCAGCTGTCATCACATTCCTCCACACAGCCCGGAGCTAACTCCGCTAGCCTGAAGCTAACTCCGGTCACCGGCTAACTCCTGCTCCCGGTAACAACTCACCGGTTTGGTCGGGTACACGGCGGATAGGTGCGTTTTCAGCTCCCTGATGGTCCAGTCGAGGCGGACTCCTTCCACGGTCCGGTCCTCCTGAGCCTGGTTGGGCGTTTTTACCACCAGACTCATCGTGTTTTCATGAGGATCGCCCGCTTCCATGTTCGCAGCGGGGATGGGCGCCGTCTAATCTGTGGATACAAAGCCGGCAGGACGAAGTGAAAGCGGCGGAGTTTATAAAAAAAAAAGACTCGGGGGAGAAGCGGCTCCGTGCTTCGGTCCTCGGTTGAACTTGTGTCCGGCTCTCTGGCAGTGTGTCCCCGCTGCTGGTTTACTGACTGACGGACTGACGGAGCCACATCCGGGACTTTGACGGTTGTTTCCAAACACTGTGGCCGCTCCTGATTGGCTGCCGGCGGCTCGTGCTTAGACGTGGAGGCTCGCTAAATCGTCGCCTATGTGAGCATGCGCAGTGAGTCACAACAAACAGAAGAGCATGATAATATCAACATGATATTTGTGCCAATATCTTCTTATTGCATGAATATCAAGTTTAAAAAAAGATTAATAAGTCATGATAATATTCTTGTAAATTTCGCTGACGTTCTTCTATATTATGTTTTCTAGATTTTTTTTAATTTTATTTTATTTACTTTTATTGTACCTTCATTTTATACCCTCCCCTAACATTCTGGGTTGTTATTTTGCTTTGTTTACCCCCTTTGTTGAATAGTCATGCTGCTGTAACACCTCAATTGCCCTCCGGGGTTAATAAAGTCAGTCTATGTCTAATTTATTAGTTTTATCTGTAATAATAGGATTTAACTGAACTGAAATCCCAAGAGGAAACCAGCAGCTGTTCCAATCTGAATCCAAAGCTTCTTCTTTTTTTCAGGTAGAAGTTTAAGGAAAATTAAAGTTAGAACTCTGCAGTTTATGAACTGTGGACTGATATTACAATGCTGTAATACTGTGTGCACTGAAAAAACTGCAACCAGATCAGTTTTACATCCATCCAGGTGTCACAATATAAACACTAAATCTGGTTTCTGTTCATTTTCTCTATAACCAACTGTGAGCATCAGTATTATGGGATGTATCGTAGTGTGAACAGTCAGACTGCAGCAGTTTAATGTCAATGATGTAGAGTCATAGAAACAATCATTGGTTCTCTTCTTTTACCTTCTACCTTTACAACATCCCCACATCATGACGCTGCCACCACCGTGCTTCATATCATGATGCTGCCACCGCTGTGCTTCACGGTGGGGATGGTGTGTTTCTAATAGGGTCATGGTGCAGTTTTATGTTCGAACTATGACACATCCCATAATATTGATGCTCAAAGTTGGTTAAAGAGAAAATAGGAAAACCAGATTTATTCTTTAGACTGTGACACCTGGATGGATGTAAAACTGATTTTTGTTTGAGTTTTTGTCTTTTTTGTCATATATATATATATTAAAATCATTTTGTGTCATCTGTGTCTAGTTTTTGTCATTCTCTTTGTCTTGTTTTTTTTTGTATTTTTGCCTTTTTTTTCATCTTGCTCATTTCTATCTCATTTTTTGGTTTTGTGTCGCACTTTTGTCGGGGCTTTTTTGTGTCTTTTTTTGTGTCTTGCTTGTGTTGTTTATTATTTTGGTCATTTTGTGTCTTACTTTTTCATCATTTGGTGAATTTTTTTTCCTTCTTATGTCTCATACAAACATACAACATTGTGACTCGACTCTAACATGTCAGAATGGAGAACGAAGCAGTAACTGAAGTTTTCATCTTTAAATTACATATTAAAATTAATTTAACAATTGAATGTGCTCGGTTGTATAAATGACTAAGAAAGCTTCAACTAGCCCTTATTTTACTTTTACAACTTCTTGTGCTTCAGTCAGTCAGTGATCAATAACAATACGATTTTCTAACTTACACACCTGTTGTTATTTTAAATGTCTTCGTCAGACAGTTTGGGTGTTTGAGTCGAGCTGCGAACACCAAACCAACTCGACTGGCTGCATGTTTGGGATGTAAATGATGAAAGCAGGACGCTCCTCTGAGCCTCGCTGGTTTTACAGGTTTTACTTAATACCAGAATACGTGAACTCTGTGACACTAAGACATGGACAACGTGGATGATGTACAGGAAACAGGGCAGATCAGGGGCTGTGTTATTACACAGAAAAACACAGGAAGTGAAATCAGCTTCATGTTTATTCTGCATTTTATCAGTCAACAATTCTGGACCGACTTGGACACAAAAATGCAGTTTGTTGTGTTTTACTGCTCAGAATCATCGCGTAGATCAACATGAATGTTATATTTTATTTCTCATTCTTGCACTGGTTTATTAAACTCTAAATCTTTACAACAAAAACATGAGAGTCGGGATGAATAATTATGAGAATTATTACTGAAAGTGCAAAATGATCAAGTCAACAGCAGCTGCAATTTACAGATAAACCTAAAATGTGATTTATCATCACTGATGCATCGTGGGTCTCCAGATTCTGCAGACAGTAGAGAACAAGCTTCAGAAAGAACATCTTCAATTTTATGCTTGTTTTTTAAAGAAAATGCAAAAAAAACTGTGACTCACGTTGCAATTTCTATCGATATATATATATATTGATAGATATATATATGTTTTAACATTGTGATGCAAAACACACAAATATGGGAAATAAAGACATAAACTTGGATGTTCTTTAAATCTGAAGCACTTAGTTTTTTTTTTTAATTTAAGGCCCCAAAACATCCTAATAATTTTCATTAATTATTATCTTTACAATCAGTAAAATCAAAGGATGTGTAAGTTACTGAGACGCTGCGTTAATTAGCAAAAACAAAGTCGCACAATCAGATAATTATTAATATTCTAAACGCTGATATTTGTGTCATTATATTTGCATTAAGCTCCGTTCAGATATAAGATATGGAACATGTTTATCAGTCTGTTAAAGGGACGGTATTCAGGCATTAAAGGTCGTTTTTATTGTTTAATTTGGATTCATGCATAACGTGCAATCATGCAATAACTCACTAAAGACTAATAATGATCTAATATGAGCTTATAAAAGCTTCCAGACAACCAACAGCTGAGTTTATTTATGATTTGATGAACGCTCGATATTCTGTCCATGTGTGACGATAATCCAACGACCAGCAGTGACAGAACCTGCTGTTACATTCTCATATTATTATTATTATTATTATTATTATTATTATTAATAATAATAATAGTAATAATAATAATAATAATAATAATAATTAGTGAAGTCTGTGCTGTCGTGTATAAACGTGAGCAGCGTTCTCTCTTAAAATTTATCCTGCTTGCAGCGATTTAACAAACTCCGAGGAAATAATCCCAAACAGACGGAAGCAAAGAACTAAACTTCAGCTCCCGTTAGCGTTTCGTTAAAAACCTGGATGACTTTTATTGAGTCTCGTTAATCTGAACTGTCACAGACTCTGTTTTCATCAGCAAACTTTGATCTTAAAGGACATTTTTAGTTTGTAATAGATGCGAAAAGTGGTCGTCAAACTGTTTAGTGACAAATATCTGCGCTAAAAAAGGTGGAAAACGTTTTCAGATCATGCGTGGATGCACTTCAGACTTTTGTAGAAAGTAAAATAAAGTTTCGGAGACGTTTCATTGGCAGTAGAAGGTGAGAACGTTCTCCTGGTTGCCTCTGACCAATAGGACGGGAGGCCTCAGGTCACGTGACAGGAAGTCGAGCCAGGCCAGGTAGAGCATGCTGGGACACACGCCTGTCCTCGCCACCGGCATGGTGCTGCCGGGAGACACATCAGAGGAGGTTTAATCAGGAGAACGCTCACATTTCAGCAGAAAATAAGCAATTAAAGGAACTGTTTCCTAAAATTTAGCTTAAAAATTCACTGATTTAGAGAAACTATAAAAGCTGATAGTTAATAATGTAAATATTGCAGATAGTTTGAACTCACAGTCCTGCATTCATTGATTTAAAACTAAACTGTTGACTTTACAGTGTTATTTATGGAGTGAATATACCTCAGGGATTTACGTATTATTAATTTAAAACCATACAAATACCACTTTACCCGACTATAGTACATATTGAGGGTTATTATTGTGATGAACACATCTAATGAAATATTATTGAACGTTTTTGTGCTCAAACAGTTGTGAAAGTTTAACAAAAATAACCCCTTTTCCCATTTTTGTGACCAAATATTTCAAATTAAAAGTATTCTGTGTGCTTGTATGATAGTGACGTGTGGATCAAATATCACGAAGCTGACTTCTGGATTTATTTTATTTTTTTTAATGTGCTTCAACTCACCAATAATCAGGATTTATTGAACCTACTTGTCTGATATTACAGATTCTAAATCGATGTCACGATGAGAAAAAACTGTGAAAATATCAGGTTTTTATCTTTAATAGTTCCTTAGATGTCGACGTTTTTATATATAAAAATGTTTTGAAAAGTGATGTGAGGTGAAATAACCCTCTAATTTAAATAACACGCAATGATAATAATAATAATTCTGGAGATTAACTCGACTAATACTGAGCTAAAGTTGTGACTCGACAAAATATACGTGAAAAAAATGATATTTTTTTATGAGAAATCAACTTTAAAACAAAGTTGTAATTAAAAATGTGCTCTTTTCTCTAATTTAATGTCGACTAATTGAAAATATTTTCATTAAAAATTGTCTGAATTGAACAAAAAATGATGCAAACATTAATTTTCAGAGCTGAGCGTTCCTTTAATTCTACCTTTACCACTAATAAAGCCAGAAGAATGAATGTTTGTCTCACATGACGATCAGAGCGGCGTCTCTGGAGTAATCCTGCAGAACCTCGTTCAGTCGGATCTGACGGAGAGACTGAAGCCAAACGGGTTAAAAGTGAGATTTAAAAATGACAGAACGGTTGATTTTAAATGCGCGTGATCGGGTTCGTGTCGGACCTTCGCCTTGTTTCTGTCCACGTCCTGCTCGCGGATCCTCCAGGGCTCCTCCTGCTGCCTCGGCTGCCCAGAGTCAGGCTCCTGTTTAGGGTTGGAATCCAGCCTGAAGGGTCCGATCAGCTCCTCGAACTGATTCACGCTGAACAAACAAGTCTAGAGTAATTTCTGCTTTTTAAAGGTGAACATCGTCGACACAGAAAATCTCCTGAGTCGAGTTTTTACATCCCTCATTTAACAGCAACACAGGAAATATAAGATATGTTTCATTTTAAGGTGTTTAAACCGTATTTTTTGTCATCAAAGATTAAAAACAAACCGAGTTCTTTGATTTGTTTTGACTTCTTCCACAAGATAATCTAATTTAAAGCATCTTTAACTTGATTTCTGACATTTTTCTGTCCATGTGAAGCTGCTCAGGACGAAGCTGAAGCCTAAATTCACTTTAAACATTTTACTGCTCAGACTCACTTTGCAGGTTGAGGATTCTGGTAAATGTCGGGAAGAACTTCAACGTGGTGGAAGCCGAGACGGAACTTCTTGATCAGCGCCAGAACTCTGCAAACAGAGCGTCAAGCCGCAGCGAACAATAAAGTTTTTACATTTTTACAGAATCTCACATCAGTGAATAAAAACTAATGAAGTTTGATCACAACAGGTCGGATACAGGAGAAGAATTATTTACTGCTATTGTTCCCTGTTTTGTTAAATTACAATTAATAACTAATAAAATCGCAGAAAACGTATTATTATAATAAAAAAAAAACTATTTTATGCAGTTTCTGACCATAAATATTGTCCACATCAAAAATCTGCATTTTTTTTTACAAAAAAGTAATTTGTTCTTCTCTAATGTGTGACTGTAAAATTACAGTTTTATTTTTTTAAAAATTCATCTAAAAAATATTAGCATTTAACAGATATTTAGACTTCTTCTTATTACATTATAAATAATAATAATAACAACAATAATAATAATCACAAAAATATGTAAAATGATCTATTTTATATTATTTTAAAATGAATAATTTCAATTATTATTATTATTATTATTATTATTATTATTATTAATAATAATAATAATAATAATAATAATTAATATTAGCACAAATAATAATTTAATAATGTGTTATTAAAATTATTATTATTATTATTATTTGTTTTTTATGTAGACATTATTACTGTTTTGGCCTGATTTTTTTTTTTTTTTACATTTAAAATATAAATTCATACTTCTTTTCTGTGATTTTACTAAATATTATTTGCAATTTAGAAAAACAAAGCAAATTTGTAAAATAAAATTTTAAAAAAAATCACTTTCTCTTTTTCAATCCTCAGTATGAAGAACTTTTCTTTTGAATAATCGTGAATATCTGTTGAATAATTGATTTAAATACAGTAAAACTGTAATTTTATGCTGAGATGTTTAGCCTGTATTTAGGGTTACATGTAAATTATTACTTTTTTCTGGAATCTTATCGTCTGTAATTTAACTTAACAAGAAAAATCTGTGAAACATTACAATAAAAACCATTATTTTCTTCACAGTGTAATAAATCCTCTCAAAGTATTTCATGAAGGAACTCTGCAGTGAAGCGAATCACAGTTCAGGTTCTTACTCCTGCCTCTGCTCCTCCTTTCTGTCCGGTTCTCCCCCGACGAACACTCGGACCTTGCAGCCGGACCAGCGCCTCCTACGGGTCAGCAGGTAGGGCAGCAGCAGGGTCAGGCCTGAAGCAGCAGAGAGACGAGAACCTGAAGCTCTGGAGGTAAATATGACACAGTGAAGGTGAATGAAGGCGGAACCGGGACCAGACCTCCGTCGTCAGACAGCCAGTACACATCGATGGTTTTCTTTCCCTGTTTCTTCTGGAACACTGAACTCGGCTGAGGCTTCGGTTCGACACAGACCGAAGCTGCAAACACAGAAAACAGATTTATTTCAGTTTCATCTCATCCGACTGCAGGATTTCTGGGTTCTGATGTTTCTGACGTACATAAGGTTCTGGTCTGAACCCGGGACGGAGCAGAGACGGCGTTTATGGTCTCTGGTCCTCCGTCGAAGCCCGGATTCACTGAAACACAAACACAGGTGGGATGTACCTGTAGTCAAACAGTGACGGATGTACGTGGACTACACTTCCCATCATGCACCTCGTTAAACAAACAACGCCTCTAAGAGTAGCAAAGAGTCACTTTAAGGAAACTTTGAGTCATTTTGGACAATTTGAACTGAATCTGGACAAATTTCGAGTTATTTGGGGGAAAATTGTAATGAGTTTTTAACAACTTTAAAGTAATTTTGGACAATTTGAGGTAACTGCCGGCAAATTTGAGTCTTTTTGAAGAAAATCTGAGTCATTTTGGACACATTTCTGCCATTTTAGACAATTTTGAATAAAGTTGGAGAAATTTTGAGCTATTTTTGGGAAAATTTTAATAGTTTTTTAACAACTTTTTAGTCATGTTGGGCAAGTTTGAATAATTGCGGACAAATTTTGAGTCCTTTTGACCAAAATTTGACTCATTTGGTCCTAAGTTTGGGACAAATTTCTGTAATTTTTGACAACTTTGAATGAAGTTGGAGAAATTTCTAGGTTTTTTGGGGAAAATTTAATCCTTTTTTAACAACTTTCAGTCATTTTTGACACGTTTTGACAACAGCGGACAAATTTCGAGTCATTTTAAACAAATTTTGAGTCATTTTAGACAAAATTTGAAGCACTTTAGACAATTTTTAAAAAATTATTTTGGACAATTTCGAGCTATAAACCATTTTGAACGAATGGAGTCATTTTCAATACTCTTAAGGTCATTCTGGAGAGATTATTAATATTTTTGAGTAATTTTGGAAAAAGTCTGAGTCATTTAGGACAATTTAAAGTCATTTAGGAAACATTTTGACAAACTTTAAAGAAATAAATTTGGATTTTTTTTGTCAGTTAAGACAATTTTAAATCATTTTGAGATATTTTGGACAAATATGAATATTTCTGAGCCATTTGTGAAAAAGTCTGAGTCATGTCGGATCATTTTAAGTTATTTTTTGACCATTTTATTTGTTGTTAGGACAATGCTGAACCATTTTTAAGACATTTTTGACAAATTTGAGTATTTGTAGACGAGTGTCATGTTATTATGAAGAGTTTTGGACAGACTTTTACTGATGCTGTGAAGCAATTTCCTCTCCGTGGCCTCCTGCTCTGATATAAATTAAATCTCTCACCATGTGATTGATGATCAGAAACGTCTAGTCCTTCTCTCATTCTGAGGACACAGACGCCAAACTGCAGGTCGAAAGCGTCGCTGAAACACAGAAATGAACATTCATGCTCATTAAACCACACTGTTTAGGTGGCTTTGATGCAACAAGGCTTCACTTATTTACTGTTTTAATATGAACTTTGAAGCTCTGCTGCAGAAACAACACATGATATTGATTATATCCTGCTGTGGATGCTTGTTAAAGCTCCGTCGTTTCCTGAACTCACTGCAGGACTCCTATGTAGCTGTGTGCGGCCTCCGGCGAGTCGCTGCGCCAGTCGCTCTTGAACCCGATCAGCAGGACGTTTGGCTTCATGCGGCCCAAACCTGCCCCCTGGTGGACAGGTGGCGGCATGACAGGAGGAAGAAGATATCAGGAGCAGAGATTGTAGCAGCAATAAATCTTATTTTAAAGATATAAAAGCAGCAGAACTGGAAAAAAAAACTCTCCCAACTGCCTCAGAATCAGCTGGTTCTGAACTACTTCAGTGGTTCAGTTGCTTTTAAGGGAAACACTCAGGAAGCTCAATCACTGCCCACGACTAGGAAACATTACAACGAGTCTGCTGACACTAACATCCAAATATCCACCTGGTGTAGAGGTCACTACTGTTTTCTCAGTCTGATTTCGTTGCGAGTAAAATCAAGCTTTCATTCTGAGGCTGAACATCCAGACGTAGTGCGTCTCAGACCTGCAGCAGCACGTTGACTCCTGATCGCAGGTCAGCAGCGACGACTCCTCTGTAGAAAGACTTGACCTTCCTTTGGTTCAGCCAGGAGACGTGACGGTGGCCGTTCGCTTCCTGCAGCAGCGATGGAGACGAGGAGGCCTGAGAAAGCTGAAACAGACACACAGGACGGATGGAAAAAGAATTCCACATCCGGGTTATTCAGTCTCAGATCATCAGGGTCCTTCTGCTCCACCAGCTCAGATTTACTTCAAACTGTTTTTATTATCAAAAATTTTTAAAAAGTGAAGTTTCAGATTCATATATGAAATACTTTCCGAGATTCTTATTTATTTTTTATTTTTTTTAATTGTCCTTTGACTCAGATTTTTTCTCACATTGAAATTTGAGACTGTTTGAACGATGATATCTCAGAAAATATTAAAGATAAAAACTTGAAATTTTCTGTTATTTTTATTATAAATTTTGACTAGAATTTTTTTTTTAAATTAAAAAAGTGCAATAATGTCGTCTCCGTCTCACAGTTTCTCCTCCACATGAACAACTCATACATAGAAATGTGGGTATTTTTGTCCTCTTCCATCCACTGTGAGCCTCATCGCTGTAGGACTGATGGTTTTTCCATAAATCACCTCAAAGCTCAGAGAGTGTCGACCAAAACTCTCACTGACTCCCATCATGTCTGAGCTCTGAGATGTTGGGTGAAAATCAGAAAGTCTCTTTAACCTGCCACCAAATCTGTACAAAACTCAGCACAGACATGAAAACACACCAGAATGTTCACAACGAGTTTGAGCTTCACACGCTGAAAGAATTTCTTCAATACGACTTATAGTTTCTGAGTTGTGACGGTTTGTTCGAGGCTCTAATCCTCAGTCTGCTCTGCTCACTGCAACAGCCAGAGACTCACAGCTGATTGGCTGATTGATGCTCTTTCAAAGTAAAAGCTCAAAGATGTTAAAAGCAACTGTTCCTGAAACATGTTGGCTTTTCAAAAATAAAATGTACCTATATAACTTATACCTTATGAATAATAATAGCAGGACATCTTGAAGCTGGATTTGCACACGAGGAATTTCCTTAGATATATATTTTAGTTTCTAATTAATGTTTATAGTGAATCAAACTGTGGCCTTCAGTGGAGGATTCAGGTGTTTTTTTCTTTTACTCACAGTGACCACGTTTCCGCACATCATGAGGCTGAGACGCTTCGTGAAGCAGCTGACGAGGTCGACCAGAGCCGGCCGACTGCTGGGAGGTCCAGTCAGAACCAGACACTGAGGCCTGAAACGCAGAAGCACAACAGTCCAGAACTCCTGCAAACCGGCCTTCAGAACAAATCAGACACAATGTGCACCTCTGTGAACGCTTTAAGCTCCAGATATAATCATCTGGCTTGTGTTGGTGTTCGTGTGCATCATAAATATCCTGCCATAGAGGTGAACAAAAGCACAAATATCTAGTCACTGCAAAACAAAAAACAACCAACCAACCAAACAAACAAAAAACCCCAACAATACAAACTCAAAATGATCACTGAAAGTCTTATATTTGGGACAGGTATGACATACTCTCTCACAATAACGTTGTCACTACACTGATACTATATTTATTTTATATTTATATTTTATTTTTAGATTTATATAATAGAAATTACCAGAAAACCCATTATTTACAAAAAAAAGTTCAACATCCTGCAGTTCAGAAGCAAATATTGTACTTTTTACTTCACAGCATTCATTTAATAAGTTCAGTTCCTCACCGTTTAAAGAAGCCCTTCATAGAAATCAGCCTGAACTCAGAAACGCCAACAAGTGGAAGTTTGACACAAGTCCCGCCCCCGGCACCCTGTCAGCCAATCATATGCTTTGTATCCGCTGAACCGGAAAACATTTAACCAATCGTGGCGCTGCACTGACTCCTTATGAAGTGTGTAGTTAAAAATAGCTTTAAACTGGCTTTAAAACCTTTTTTTTTTCAGGGAAAACCTTTAAGCATTTAAAAAAAAAATCTGATTTGACTGGTGAGTAAGTTTTTTTTTTTGTACCAGATAGATTTGACATCATAATTACGGCTCTTTTCTCCAAGATTCAACCGCGGAGAGTCAAAGATGGCTGCGGAGCTAATGTGGCTCAGTTAGCTTAGCTGTTAGCCTGCAGCGAGAAGCCTCGTCACCTGTCAGACCAGGTGAAGCCGATTTAGCGACTCACAAATATAAAAAAAGACAAAGCGGATTTGTCTGACTCGCTGTACAACTAACTGGTTTGTCTGAAACTTCACTAACCGGCGGCTATAAAGCTATTAACTCGCTCGCTAACAAGCTAACCGCTAACAGCCGCTAGGTATCTGAGTAAACATTAAGGTAGTACAGTAGTATTTATTATACAAATTAACCTGACTAATTTAAATATTAGAGATTAAAACCCTACAATATTACATATAGTAAAATTTTACCCAACTAAATTCAATATTAAAATCCCATATTATTGTTTATTATATTATTTCATCTATCTAACTTAAATATTAACATTAAGACCCTATATTTTTGTATTTTTGATATGGAAATTACCTGAATAATTAAAATGTTAAGGTTAAGACCCTGCACTATTGTTTACTGTATTATTTAACTTGAAATATAAAATACTAAGATTAAGACTCTGCAATATTATATAAAGTTGAAACTAGAAGTTTACATACAGAGTATAAACAGACGTATAACTTTTATTTCTCGCTGTCTGACATTAAATCAGGCTATGCTTTTCCTGTTTTAGGTCAGTTAGGATTACCAGAATTATTTCTATTTGCTAAATGCCAGAATATTGAGAGAGAATTTATTTAATGACTTTCTTTGAAGTCAGAAGTTAATGTATAGTTTTATGTCTTTTTATACCGTGTATGTAAACGTCTGGTTTCAACTGTGTATAACTCAGTTTATTAAATCAAATATTAAGGTTTACATGTTACAATATTATTCTTTATACCTTATATATTGTGTAATGTATCAGCCTCTCCGAAACAAACAAGAAAATAAAACAATAAAACCTGATTATTGCTCAGGATTCAAAACAAACGGTGGAAACAATCAATAAATATCAACTAAAAATTCTCCAAATAGAAGTTTCTGTTAAACTTTAGCCTGGATTTATTTACTTTTAAATGTAGTTATTGTAACTTATTCATGTCAAGTTTTTACATGTAGTTAAAGGTCCAAACAATGAATCATTGGTCCTCGCTGACCTGTAGTTCTTGACGTGGTCCTCCACGTGGTTGAGGCCGACGCACTGGTTGAGGGCGAAGCTGTAGGAGCTGGCCTGGACCGAGGAGCCCCAGTTCACGTCTGGACACGGGAGGGAGGGTCAGTGGAGCTGCAGGCCGGACGAATCGGCGGGATGGTGCGTTCGAGGACCTACCTGGCTTCTTGTACAGCGCGTATCCCAGAAGGAAAACGACGATGCCGAAAGCGATGAGGGCGGCCCACCAGTTCAACAGGAACATGATGACCGCGCAGCAGACGGCGCCGAGCAGAGACAGCCACTTACTGTAGAACCTGAAGCTCGGACGCCACCCTGCACACGGAGGTAAACACTGAGTAACACATTTATTAGACCACCTGTCTGATCTGCTAAGCTCTGTATATTTATATATATGGACCATCCAGCATCATGAAGTGCTTTAATTCCCACTCAGCTCTCCGTGTTTCACAATTTTGAACATTTCAAACTGAATTCACCTTTTTATACCCAAATCTGAGCCAATCAAGCATCACATTCAGCCACAAAAACTAACCTTTTCTATTCAGGAATGCAAGTAAATAACTTTAATTTCACATCTTAATCAAGAAATAATAACGTGATTTACTAGTTTTTCCAGTTTTTTTTGTAGAACAGTAAATTTGAAAATGCATGGAAAACAATAATAGTCATATTTTAGCATTTAAAATATCATTTGGGTTGAAGAGCTTCTACGTACTGGTGCATTAACCATTACAGAAACCAGTGCTGTTCATTTAGGGCAGCTGTGGCATAAACCTCATATTGGGTGGTCTATATATATAATTCTACAATTCAACTCAAGAATTGTCCACATGGGCAAAACATGTAACTGAAATGATTCAAAATTTGTTCTGAATGACATTAAAATGGTCCAAATGATTAAAAAAGTAATAGAAACTAAATCACGCTGAACAGAAACCAGATGCAGCGTTCAGACTGAGACACCTGGATGGATGTAGAACTGATCTGGTGTCAGGTTCTACCAGAACTCAAATGTGTTCTTCCTCCTAATTGTCATGCGTCTATCTGCTGCACTGATGAAGTTCTGAGGCTCAGAAATGATGGAAAAAGTCCATTAAAGTGATCAATCTGGACCCTCCTCTGTGGACTTCAAGGACCTGGACCTCTGGAACATTCACAGTCTGAAGGTAGAACTCTGGTCAGTAGATGAAGGTGCTGCAGATACAGAACCAGATGGTTCTGAGGGAACTTTGTGCAGATTCTGTTGATTTTCTTTGGACTGACTCTGCAGTGCAGCACAACACATTTTCATGATGAACATTCCCGTCTGTCCACCGAAGCCTCGTGTGTCTGACCTGGTGAGTTGGTGATGGAGGCGTGGAAGCAGCTGAAGTTGATCAGCGAATAGGAGCAGAGGAAGAAGTTGGAGATGATGGGAGCGATGGTGTTCAGCTCAGCTGGTGGGTGACGACAAAGAGAAGAATCACATCACAGACACGTTTCATCAGCAGGGACCTTCGAGATAAATACGTTCAAGTGAACAGAAACTGCTTCGCTATATAAAAAAAAAACACACAAAAAACAAACGTATTTTTTAAAATTTAGCACTCTGAACTCCAAAACCTGCCAGCATGTTTTAAAAGATGTTAAAAATAAAAAAAGTCGCCAAATATTATTAGATTTGTCAGCTAGAAATTGGAAAATCTTGTAGAAATATAATAATAATAAAAATAAACAAACAACAAAGAAAGCAAAAATAATAAACAACAGACAAAATAGATGATAAAAACTTGTAAATGGTAAAGAAAGCCACAAAAACAGCAACACTTATCAAGATCTAGAATACAAAAAAGCAAGCAAGAAAGAAAAAAGGATAAAAACTATACATATCAATGAGTTAAATAAAATAAATAAATTGAAATGCCAAAAAACTAAAGAAAACTTGAGAAAAACCTGTGAAGTAAAATAAAATAAATGTAAAATACAGGAAAACAACTTCTAAGATCAGTTTAGGAAATAAAATAAAAAAGTTCATAAAAATGTAATTTAAAAAGCGCTATGAGACGACTTGTTTTTGTAAATATGCGCTATACAAATAAAATTGAATTGAATTGAATTGAAAATAAAATAAACATACAATGCTAAAAAACACAAAAAAGAAAAGAAAATGAAAAATATGTGCGAAAACAACAGACAAAAAAAGGATAAAAACTTGTAAATGCTAAAAAAAAAAAAAAGCCACAAAAAAGCAACATTTGTAAAATTAAATAAAAAAGACCGAGAATATCAAAAAGCAAGAAAGAAAACAGGATAAAAACTTTAAATATCAATGATTTAAATAAAATAAAAATGAATTTACAATACCAAAAAAACAAAAGAAAACTTGTAAAGTAAAATAAATGTAAGCTATTATATCAGGAAAACAACTTAAGGTCAGTTTATGAAATGAATTAATATCATCTGATCAGAACGATCAAGAACACACTCAGATTAACTGAATGTCATGTCAACCCTTTTCTTGAAGGCAGACGTCAGAAGTTGTCTTTTAAATTCTCACCAATGAGGATGAAGCAGATGGCGATGATGTAGGTCAGCAGGTAGCCTCTGATTGGTTCCTGGTTTTTACCGTAACCTTTACCGAAGAAGCCGATGAGAGGGTAGAGGTTGTCCTGACAAAGACACTGAAAGACAAGAGACACCAGGCAGAGTAAATACAGTTTAATAAGAGTAAAATAGTAAAAAAATATAATTATAGCTGAATAATGAATACGTTTGTAACCTGGAAGACTTTGGGCGCCGACACCAAACAGGCCAACGCCGACGACAGAGTCGCTCCAAAGATCCCGGCGGTGATTAAAGGAGCGAAACCAGAAACCAAACTCATCGTCTGCACACAGAAACATGATATTACTCCCAAAGAACTCATCTCTCTGTTTGTTTAAACTCACTGTACTGGACTGTGGTGTGAGTTTGTAGCTGTCAGTGTTTCATGAAAATAAAGCTTTGTCGCCCCCCAGTGGCAGCGAGAGGTAACTGATGCTGCTGTTCTCCTGCAGAGTTATTCTGATGCTCAGTAAGATGTTCTTCAGCTATAAACAGTGTTGTGTATATAAGTCAGAAATTAGGATAAAAGCTTGAAAAATCAATTTGCAAAATAAAAAAACAATAAATATAAAATAATAAAACTGCATAGAACAGAAAAAAATCTTAAAGCTTGTTAAACATAGAATTAAAATAGATAAAATACTAACCAAGCAAGAGAAGAAAAGGAGAAAAACTTGTGAGGTTCATTTGATAACAATAACGAAGCAAAAAAGAAAAGAATCGCGACATTAAGTTAAATAGTTATTAAACAAAACAGTCAAACCAAACCGGATAAAGTATGATGTAAACTGAATAGAGTTCTTATAAAATACTAAGAAAGCAAAACATAACAGCAACTTACAAAATGGGATAAAATAAAACTGCATAAAAACACTTGTTAATTTTATCTGCAATAGAAAAACAAGTAAAACAGGAACAACAACTTTTAAAATCAAAAAATAAAATAAATATTTAAAAAAAAGTACAGAAAAAAATTGTGAAGCTTGTGATGTTGTAATGTGAAAGATAAAAAAGATAAAATACTGAACCAGCAAGACAAAAAAA